ATACATATTTCCTTTTATCCTCATTGAGTGTTGAAATTGAAATAATTCAGTGCTTCTTCCATAAAAGAGGAGAGAGTTTTGAATAGTCATGTACGAGTAATCCTGTAGATGTTCTTTCTTTCCAACTTTCCCCACTTCTCTGCATTCTTTCAAGGGTACATATGTATCCTAAAGAGAAAAAAAAAATGGAGCGGGCATCTCAAATTTTGAACTTTGGTTTAAAAAAAAACAAACCACCCGGTAGTGATTAGATTATATTTTTCTTATAGGTAATATGTTTATTTTGTTTGTAGTGCATTTTTTCTTCATAGAGAGAAGTGAAAAAACAATCCAGTTTTTAAGTATCTGAGAAAAAGCGCCAAGCCATTTTATAGTTTTGGAGATCCTCCGTTTACTTTGTTTCTCTTTGGTTCTTGAGAGCTAATTATTTACTTCAATTTTTTTTTATCATGGTCATTTTTACATAGAATATTTTGTATTATTTGTTACAATGCTTTAAGTGTTCATCTTTTTTTTTTAATAAGAGAAATGTTTTTTTTAAAATACCATGTGCATAGGGGGAACCATGAGAATGATTACCCCTAAGTGTTCTTTAGATGCTGTATAAAACGTTTTGATGAGTTTTAAAGAAAGGATGTGTGCTTAATCTCTTGCATGTTTTTTTCACTCTCCATTTTTCTGGTATATTTAATATTATGTTAAATATTACCTTCACATTTAATATTAAAATAGAGAAAAATGTTTCTTTCCATTATCATCCTCCTAATCCCCTCACTCTGCTTCCCTTATCTCCCCACCCAAGTCCTCCTCCTGCCAGCGTGAAATCATAATGGCAGCTGATCGTAGGAAGTTCTCTAAATAGGGAAGTCATTTGTACTACTCCTGCCCAGGTAAAGGAGCTGCCTTCCTCTCCACTGCCGGGAGAGTTTGCCTTCTTAGTTGTCTTCCACCCTCACAGCAGAAGCCAACAGTTGGCTGGATTCCCAGCAGCCTGTGAGCCTTTCCCTGGACCAAGCTTCTTAAGTTTCTGAAAGAAAATGCCCAAGCGAGCAGTTGGTTTCTTTCCACTTACAGGTCATTTCCTTGTCTTCCTTTTGCAGTCTAAGACAGAGCACACATGGTCTGGTAAAAGTTTGTTGTTGGCTCTGCTTTTTTTAACTTGGAAAGTTGGGGAAGGCAGGGGAAGTATCAGATGAGGTGTCTTTGGGTGAGTTTTTTTTTTTTCCCCAGTAAATCAGGTGAGAATATAAAAGGTTAATTATAATAGGGCATGGTAGATAAGAACTAAGACAAGTTAGCATTATCATTTACCTTTAGAATAAAATGGCAGAGGAAGGAGACAGTGTGAGAAAATGTGGTAGGAGCATGTGTGGTTCGGTGAATTCACTGGTTATTTCTAAACCAAACTTGCAAACATGGCTGATTTTATTTATTTTTGGACTTAGAACCACAGAAAACAAGAAAGACAAAAAATTTGGAGAGTTTTACTTCGAAGATACTGCCTTGTTTAATTTGATTGTTGGACAGCTTTGTCGCATAGATTAGGGGAAAGAGTGAACTAGTATAGCTGAAAAAATTCTGATTTTTGATTATATAAAGCATAATTTCAGGACTCATCCAGTCATAGTGCCTCCTCAAGCACGTTAAAATTGGACCCAAGTCGGTGCTGAGTAGGGTGCCACCAGCTGCATGAAATGACATTTTGCATTTTGGTTGGACTACAAGTTTCCAGCTTCAAAAAATTACCAGTGGTTATGTAAGTGTGAAACACTCACCAAATAGAAAGGCAGCTCTTTGTGTCTTTGCTTGTTGGCTTAGATTTTTAACCAATCCATGAGATACTGGTCTAGGGTCAGAGAGAAAGATAAATTTTTACCTTATTTATAACAGAACATGTATTCTGAATGAACTCTCCAACCGTATTTCTATGCTGGAATCCTAAGTAAGTTACTAAATTCTGCCTAGTCCCAGTGCATCCACTGATTGTAAAGGACTGTTAGGGATGATTGAGTTATTTGAAAACAGTGAAAATGTAAGAGAGCCCTAGTGTCATAGACTGTATGTAGTCACTAGCTTCTGATGTGACAGCTACTTTGTATTCCATGAGTTTAGAAGGATGACTTACTTTTCCATACAAAGAATATGATTCTCAAAATATAGAAGGGTAATTTGGTAGAAAGTTGGAAATAAAAGATTTCCTTTAGAAGCCTCTCAGATTTTCAAAAGGTGATTTGCTGGTAGCAAGTTGATTGAAAATGTTATCTGACTTGTGTCTAAAATGAGATTTAAATAATTGATTTAATGAGAAAGAGAATATTCAGTTACCGAAGTAATTGGTTGGCAGAGCCTTTAGAACAGAATTATTTAGTCCTAGTTACAAAGGATTGCACCTTTAATCAGGGTGTTTAATTTGATTTCTTGAATGTATCTGTGCCTCGTCTGACAAGCTCAGTAACAAATGAGCTCTGAATTGTAGGAACTGATCAAAATGTAATCAGTGTCAGTTGCCATTGTTGTAGTTTATTGCATATTGCTGTCAGTGGCTGTAATCAAGAAATGTGGAAGTGTTTTAAAGTCTCTAGACCTTTGAGTAATTGATTTCATGTGTATGATGTTATGGCTGTGAAATAACCATCACTTCCGATTTTACTTGATCTTCAGATAAAATGTTTGAGGTCGACATTGAGTTGGCATCCATTCTTCATCATGCCCAAGCCCAAAACTTTTTAAATGCCATGCATGACTTAACGTGGACGTCCCATCTAGACAGCTTTTTCTTTTTAGTGCTTTTAAAAAGGAAGTACTAACAAGATGTTTCCTTCTCTATGTAGACAAATACAGTATAAGGGGAGAAAAATCCCTGACACAACTAGGTTACCTTTTTCTTTTTCTTTTTTTTTTTTTTTTGGGGGGTTGTTTTAGTTGAGGCATTATCCTGGAGCGAGGGAGAAATAGTCCCTTCCATGAATCTCTCATTTTCTCCTTTGCCTAATAGGGGTGTGGAAAACTGGATGAGTTGTTATTGATGGCTCAGTGTCATTCATCATAATCCATTGACTGCCTCCTGTCTTTGGGTTGATACCATCACAGGTGCTTATGCCTTTTAACAATTCAGCTGTGGTAGTAACCTGCAACAGTTAATAATGTATGAAAATCGTTATGAAACAGTCTTCATTTCCTTTGATGTTCCTAATAGCATTTGTGAGAGCGTTTATCACCATTGTATAGATGAAGACCTGAAATTCAGATAGGTCTGGGCGTCACAGTTTGGGCTGACACGGCCATTGTAGGTTGATGTAGACATTTAAACCCAGGTTTGTGACAGCAGTGCTGCACGGCTCCCTGCAGCCATGCCACCACTGAGCGTGCTAGCCCAGAATTACAAGGATCAGAGATGTCACCATACTCAAAATGTTCACCCTTCTTGCAGTCTTTTTTCTTTTTTTCCTCTTTGTTTATTGAGATAGAGTCTCACTCTGTTGCCCTGGGTAGACTGTTGTGTCTTCATAGTTCACAGCAACCTCAAATTCTCAGACTCAAGAAATCCTCTTGCCTTAGCCTCCCCAGTAGCTGGGACTATGGGTGCCCACCACCATGCCCAGGTAGTCTTTCTATTTTTAGTAGAGATGGGATCTTGCTCCTCCTCAGGCTGGTCTTGTACTCCTGAGCTGAAGCGATCCACCTGCCTCCCAGAGTGCTAAGATTACAGCTGTGAGCCACTGTGTTCAGCCTTTACATTATATTTCAACCAAGATAGGCTTTTTCCTTTTCATAATTTTACTAACTCCCTCATGTCTGCTCTGTGTGTGTGTGTGTGCACCACGTGCCTTAGAACTTACTAGCCATTTGAAAGGGCGTTTGGGAAAAACACATTATTGGTACAGTTTTTAGGACAAAGAAAACCAGTGTAGTTGAGAAGGAATGTCACAAGTGTTCCATAGAGGCTTCCAATAAATATTTCCTGGATGAGTATATACATTGTAGTGTTAATGTGAAAGATTACCCATGTGTGACTTTTTAAATTTATGTGTGATCATATTTCTGTTTTGGTTGATCATATGAAATTGGACAATTGACTTCATGAGCTCATCCTAGAAAAAGTGCTCCCTACCTCATTGCTGACTATCGCTCCGTCACCTTCTGAGGATTCCCCCTGGGAAGCTGTGCACCAGTGCCAGCCCCTAGTCCACCCTGGAAAGCAATTTTGGAACTCCTTTTCTGAAATGGCCATTAGAGCTGTTGCTGTAGAATGTCCGATAGTTACATTCTCGAACTCGTCCTAGAGGAAGTGCTGTGAAGGGTAGACTCGGTGCTAGTG